GTAAAATCTTGATTTTGACAACCTTGCAACGGAGAATTATTCAAAATAAATTTCCTTTACTAAATTTTTATTATTTATTTATTAAATTTAGTAAAATCTCGATTTTACTGATTCGATTTTACGATTCCAATTTTACCTACCCAAAACGATTTTAGGTAAAATCTCGATTTTGACAACCTTGGTACTGACATTTAAAGTGCAAGAGGCTCTAATTTTCAAATTTTTCAATGTCATGTTGTGTTTACCATTATGTTGTAGCATATTCTTCATTCTTTTTCTATAGACATTGTACCCTAACTCCACTAATGTTATGAATATGTTTTTCTTCTTTTGAACTATAGTTTTTTACTTTACAATTTAAGTTGTATCAAATTATAAAATCTGAGGTATTGAATGGAAATACTTCCAAACCATTCACTCAATGGTCATGATTGTGCAACTTGAGACACTTCTAACTGAACAATACCTTCTTCTTAAGACTATTATGCATATTCGAAGTATTAGCTTCGGTTTCCTTCTCATTTCAGTTCTAGTCTCTCTGTTTTACATCCCCAAATATTAGGTGCACCAATTATAGTGTTTCCTTTTTCGATGATTGTTGGTGTCTAGCTGCACACGAATTGCCAAAGTCCGAACCCCCTAATCAATTGATAATTCTCGATCGAAGAATGACCTCGTGATTCCTTTAGAAGCTAAGCAAAAGCATAGTTTGCTGGTGTTGGAGAATGGGGGTTAGAAAATAGATCATTGGCTTTAAAGCATGTTGCGAATACCACTTTCTTTTAAGTTAATTTCACCCCCACCAAATCTGATATGCAAAACTAATAACCCAAAATGCTTGTAGGATACAATAAAGTGCCTTGTTGATCTTGCCTTTGCACTAGTAAGATCAACTATTGAACTGTCCTTTGGAAAATGATAAAATAATAATTTTTGTACAGAGATTTCTATAACAATCGCAATACAAAAAAGAGTTGTTTTATTTAGATAATGGTAGGAATTTGGTTCTGTGTCAAAAGACTCGAAAGAAGAGACAACTCCACATTTATGGGGCAAGATGTCTGTTAAGAGCAAACGTTCCTTTTCAATTTTATCCATTGGAAATTCTTCCAAAAGTCATTTGGTTTGATTTGAATTCCAACTCATGTGGTGTCTTGCATTCCAAAGTTATCCACTGTTTCTTTAGAAACTTATCAGAATTCTATATTTTATTTTTGACGTAAATGGTTTGAACCCTATAAATGTGATTCGAACCAAAATCGTAACTTTCTGAATTTTGATTTTGTGTAAATGGTTCGAATCATAATTATATGGTTCGATCTAAAGTTATACTTTTTCAAATGCATTCTATGCAATTACTTGAACCAACTTTTTGTGATTCAAACCCAAATCCTATAATTATTTTGAAAATTCCTCAACATTCCCCTACCATTTTCAAAATAGGACAACCCACATGAGGGTATCTTACAATTTGAACATTTCACTTAGTGAACATGTGTTGGCAAATTAGTCAGAATTGCATGGTAGATTAATGTTTTGACCCAATGATTCTAAGTAACTAATTGGGCACATGTCACACACAAGACTTCAGGCTTTCCAAAGAAAAAAAATTCAAAATTGTCAACACAAAAACTGACCATGTGTCTTGTATCCTTTTCATGAGTGTTGTTAGAGTCAAGTCCCCAACTCCTAGAAGTGGCACCACTTCCACTCACATAGGTAGATCCCATCAAAAGTGCCACCACATTAAGCACTCTAATTAAAATCTATTATGGGACCTATTAAGAGTAAAACTCAACATCATCTTTATTTCATGTGGTTACCAAGTACTCTTCCACTTGGGACGGTATTATTAATAAATTGAGTGCTTGCAGTCACATTCATATGATGTACTTTATTTATTGAACTCAAGACTTGAAGTTTTTATCAAGCGTTAAGTCGAGGTTCCATCGTGTGTGACTTTGTCAATATGGACTTGAGACTCATCCCTCTCTTTGTCTTGTAAATGTTCCTTTTGATAATCCTTTTAATCAAGGATTTATGAAGTTAATTCACACAAGACCTTGCAAAGATTATGGTGATCACCTCATTTAAGAATTGATTATTTCCATGTCTACATTTTATAGCTAGTTAATTGTCATATAGACTTCTCTATAAGATAAGCACTTGATGACATAGTATTATTTTCAATCATCATACACATTCATAGAAGAATGTCTTAGATTAATATGAACTCTTGGAAGGTGTACACATCTCCAAGAAGAAGTGATATCACTTTTAAACAGTGCCATATAACTTTGTAATATCATGAATAAGTGAAATTCTTGCTTCCTTCACTTTCAAATTTAATTTTTATTTGCTTTTTAGGTGTCAAGGACCTTTAGTCCTTATTCCTCTCACTCTTGGGATTGTTCCCACCATTTTAAATATTGTTTTGTCAAATTTATGACATTAATATTCTTCATGAGAGACATATCAAGATAAATTCTAATTTATCAGAAATGGTTCAATTCATATAAATATGATTCGAACCAAGTTCCTGATACTTTTTGAGTTTTTGTGTAATTGGTTCAAATCATCTTGGAGTGATTTGAACCAAAATTCTGGAACAACTCAAATCATTAGATTCATTTTCCACGTCTAAGAGCTATTCACTCTTACTATTTATAGAATTCTTTAAATCTATATTTCTTTATCTTTTGGACCATTTTTCCAAGCTTCCAAAAAATGAATCAAGCACATAAGATTGCACTAGTTTCTACAAATTATCTCATTAATAGATAGCATCTAAACAAGGATTCAAAAATCCTTCATGACTTATCAAAACTGAGAGCCTTTTCACTTGGCCTCTCTTCTCTTAGTTTATACTAAAACTAAGACCATCAATTGGATCTCTAAATGGGTTTGCCAAATCCCAATTTAGTATTTCTTTCTTTATCATGGCAAAGTACGCATCATGAGACTTGATTCTCACTTGTTTCAATTGATATATAATCTTAAAAGCATAAACAAGAGGCATCAAAAGTAACAAGTAGAAATATGCTTTAGGCAACCTTTCAGTTATGAAATATGATCAGATTCATTAGCCTTTTATATTTCCACAAGCCTCATCTCAAGACAAACAAAATAACAAATAAGAAGCATGTATATGTATCATATGTACAAAGCACAAATGATTTTAATTAAATTGTTATGTGCATAAACATGCTTCCTTTCAATTCATGTCTTTAACACATAATCCATGTAGTATAAATATCATTTACTACCCTAAAGCATCCTTTAATAAACATGAATAAGGCATCACTAATTAAAATCATCAACATATTGGTATATGTCTTATGGAAATTTCACCATGAATTGAAACTGAATTAAATAGTCTTAACTTTAATCCAAAAGTTGGTATTAAGAAAATGAGGCATTCAAATATCTAGAAGTGAGTAAACAATGAGAAATCGTTGAAAACTATTCCATCAGATAGAAAATCTAAAATTTAATTTCCAAAAGTAAGATATAGGCACAAGATTGGATCAATCTTTTACTAGAGAATTAATATTCACTTCTTGCAAAATATGCAATTTCCACACAATTAACCATGTGTACCTTATCTTAGTTGATTCATTTTCATGGAAATTGACTTCCTTTGCTTTATCATGAAATGTTTAGCAACCTTTCCATCACTAACATTTCGGTTGTGAAAACTAGGCAACATCATTTGTCCTCTATAATGCTTTTACGTCCAGTGATTTTTTAACCCACCATTGCCTGATCTATAATTGTTCACACCATTCTAATGGTCAATGAGTCACCATTTTTGCACACGATTTAAAGCGCCAGAAGTCCATGTTGTTTTGCCACTGTTGCATGCCATATCTCCTTGGCTTCACTTGCATTTTATAGTGCAAGTTTCTTCTCAATTATTTAGTAAGCCATGATCTCAAAAAACTCATAAATTAGCCTAAAGATTGTTGGAGAATGGGGGTTTGAAAGTAGATCAATGGCTTCAAGGTGTGCTGCAAATGTCATTTTCCTTTAAGCTAATTTCACCCCCACCAAATCTGGTAAGCAAAAGGGGTAACCCGAAAGGCAGAACCCCCCAACTTAACCCTTAAAAAATATAGACAGGGACAGATCTACCCCTCACAAAAATGAAGGGACAAATTGCCCTTCCAAATCATAAATTAAGATAAATCACCAATTTTTTAATGTTTTTCGTTAAAAAATACTGTCGTGGCAAATAGAGTTTTGACGTTTTTCATTAAAAAAGGGGTGATTTATCTTGTTTTATGATTTGAAAGGGTAATTTGTCCCTTCATTTTTGTGAAGGGTGGATCTGTCCCTGTCGATATTTTTTAAGGGTTGATTTGGGGCTTTTGCCAACCTAAAATGCTCGTAAGATACAATGAAGTGCCTTGTTGATCTTGCCTTTGCACTAGCAAGATCAACCATTGAACTGTCCTTTGGAAAGCGACAAAACAATAGTTTTTGTATAGAAATTTCCACAACAATCGCAATACAAAAAAGGGCTATTTTATTTAGGTAATAGTAGGGATTTGGTTTTGTGTTTAAGAGACTTGGAAGAAGAAGAGATAACTCCACATTTATAGGAGTAAGATGTCGTTGGGAATATATGCTCCTTTTCAACTTTATTCGTTGGAAGCTCTTTCAAAAGTCATTTGGTTTGATTTGAATTCCAACTTACGTATTCATTGCCTCCCAAAGTTATCGACTCTTTCTTCAGAAACTTATCAAAATTATATCTCTTATTTCTAACATAAATGGTTCAAACCATATAAATGCATTTCGAACCAAAATTGTAACTTTCTGAATTTTGA